TTCTGCAATGAAGCTGCATTGCTTGACTGGGCACTCGAGCTCAGCCCTCCAGCCCAGCACAGATTTGGCCAGCTAACTCCATCATACACATAAGTGTATGATGAACAACAGGAGTACAGTAAAGCTAAAAATTGGCCATACACGGAAGCTAACAGCTTGCCTAAGCCAAAACATAATATTCAGAAACAAAACTGGGCTGAAATGGAGAATGAATGAGGGTAAGGCCAGTCAAGAGCGACCAAAAAGAAACCTAAAAGCAGAAGTCAGAAGGAGAAGCTTGAAATCATTTGCACCAGCAAGTGGGACTTATACAGTTCATGGGACTTTTTATCCTCTTTGCTTTAACTAAACTTGTCCAGTGTTGTAATCTTGGAAATTCTCTCACATCTTTTCTCTCTCTTGCAGTCTACGAAGTGGTCGCTGGAAAGAATGGGAAACAATGCATGGCAAGAGGTTGAATACTAGCAAGTATTTGCAAGTTTCTTCTGTGCACATTAAGCAGCTAGATGAATTACTCATCACAAACCTACGAGAGATCTGGAAAACAGTAAAAAAACAGCTGGTGACAGCCAGCTGGGCTACTGTTGCTGCAAAAAATGCTCCTCTGTCCTTTTATTGGACAGAGTCAGATGAGGCGATGCCAACACTAGGACAGAGAGGGTTCTGTATCAAATGATGGGGTTATTCTAATAAGCCCTAAAACTGTAAAACTCAAAATATACTTTTTGCAATTTCCTGTGATAATGATAATAGAAGAAAAGGAGACTAATTATTAAACAAGAAAGTATTTCAAGCAGCAATTAGCCATCATGCTCTGCACCAAATAGAGCAAAGTATTATAAGGTAGATTAAGATGGTGGGAGAGGAAAGAGACAGGTCTGTTACCAACCATCCCATGACAAAACTGAAAAAAAAAACCTCACAGCAAATTAGGAGGACAGAAGTTATGTGACAAGGTTTCCACTGGGTCAGGACATACGTGTTCCTCATGGTATCATGTTAAATCCCACCACAGCCTGGACTACACTTCTGTCTACAGGAAACAAGGATAGTGAACCTGAATATGGATTAACACATAAGATTTGGAAGCATTATATTTTTAAAGTTATATTAAGAATAAGTAGCACTTTTGACACTACAAATGTCAAGTCAGGTATTCAGAACAATAGAATCATGCAAGCTGGAGAGGACCAACATCTAGTCCATCTGTGGGATCTAGCCCAACTCCTGTTCAAAGCAGGATCCTCTACAATAACCATCTTCATAGTTAGCAAAATATTTTTATTTAGGAAATTCCATGCAGGTGTTTTCCTGTTTTTCTGTGGTCTACAGAAGCAGAACGTAACTCAAGTAACAAAAAAATTCCTGTCAGCCCTATTAATCTCGCAGTTTCTCTTTTTCCTGTCACTTTAATTGTACACACACCTAAGTCTTATAGTCACTTTTCCCATTCTTGAAATCAGGTAACTCGCATTGGGCTCAACAAATAAAATCTTAAAGATGAGTAGGCTTACATAGAAAGAGTGAATCAGAGTCAGTGAAATATTCCATCAAGAGAAGAAAGGATGCCTTGAAGATCACAGTTACTCAGAGGAAGAAAGTAATTGTCCACAGTGGAAAAAAATGAAACATGAATAACAGTCAAACCCCCATGTTGAGATATCTGCTACTGAATGCAGTAGGCTTTGGTTTTGCAGAGTTTGAGGAAGGTTTACGGGAGAATGTGAGGGTATTGTTGCTTTACATTGTCTTTACACCTCCTGTGACCCTAAGCTAGAAGTTTAGATGCCACACTTCTTCCTAGATACACATTGTTCATTCCTTCTCCAAATCAGGTACTCATAACTCCCAGTCTTATTTCAACTTTTGCCGATCTTACATGAATCTTTACACAAGTTGACAAATAGACCTGGCTTAGGGCGAACCACAGAGGCAGCAGTGATTTTCTTTGCACAGGGATAAAGAGCAGCAGCAGTAGTCCAGAGACTGGGGCTTACTGCTAGGAAGACTGGAGAGGACTCTCAGATGGCAGCTTAGAGGGTCAGAACATAACATCAGTATATTAAAAGCATTATAAATTCAGAACATAAGAACAGCAGAATGTAAGAATGTCAGCTAATGCCAGGTGGTTTGCTTGGTAACCACAACTTTTTCCTCCTTTACAGTACAGTAGTCCACCTATTCCTCCTTGCCTTTTGACTTCCTTAAAGTCCAGTAGCACCAGGATCCTAAAAGCAAAGGCTACTACCTACCCCAGAGCCCAGTGGTATAATATCTTCCAAGGGGCTACATACAATCTTTCCACAAATAGGCGTTTTTCTTGAATGTACTTTACCTCCCACCCATTCCAAACTTCCTCCAACCTGTAGTAAATGCAGAAAAAAAAAGAAAAAAAAAAATCTCCTGCATTTATTTCTGTTGGTGTCTGTTACCATCAAAACATCCTTGAGTGCATTAGGTGCAACATTATCAAGAAAAGTAACATCATCTCCTATTGATCTCCCAACAAGAATGTCAAAAGTAGAATAAGCTGTACAGAGATGAGGCTGGAAAAGACTTGCAAAATTTTTTGGGATATAAGCCAAGGTAATTCAAGCAATGTGGCAGAAAACAAGCTTGTGGCCTCTGCAGAGGCCTCATTTCAGAATCCTTTAAGATAGCAAGGCCAAAGGTCACACTGAAATGAATCTATTTCACCCTACAAACTACACTGTTTTCTAATACTAACATAACTGATCTCCTCTACCCAAATAAAGCACCTGGACAACCATTCAAATATTGTGTGACAGCAGCATTACCTGGATGTAAGTGACAAGAATATTACTCCTCATTTACTTGGGAGAATACTTATTGCAAGAAGGTGAAATACAAAGTCCATGCAGTAGCATGTGATAATCCCTTTCTAGAGAAAGGTCTGAAGCAACACCTGTAACATGCATTGATGTGTTTAACAAATCCCAAAGGTAAAGATAGGACCTTCATTTTAAATAGAGAACAGACATTCCTTGTCAGGTAAACCAACTGTCAACAGTCCTGCAGTGATAACAGGTACAAACAAACAAACCTTCCTGTTCTTCAGGTGAGCAACTCTGTCTGGTCCCTCTTAGACTCACAGAATCTAACTGGTGGCTTACTTAAACCTGCTTGTAATGATAAGTTCAAGGCATTGCCCTGCTTTCAGCCTGAGGCTACAAAGTAGAGACAGATGTGGTAAGGAATAGGGATTTTCCCTTGATGTGACTTATGTCTGTTGCCTTTTAACCCTTTATTGCACCCTTCTGAGAAGAGTTTGGATGCAGCATCTCTGTAACCCTCCCAGTAATTCAATGAGGACAGCTACTAACTGAAGATACACAAGGAGACACCGAGGGGGCTGAATGTCAAAAAAGCGTGCTAGGTATGAAAACAAATATGGTACTGATAACATCTCTTCCTTCCTTTTTAGCCTTGTTCAGAGGGGTTAAGAGCAGTTAGTAAATACCTCTACCTTACAAAGGTCAGTGTTTACCTGATAGTGTGGAGATAAATGTTTCCTGCAGTACAGCCTATGCAGACACATTTATGTCACTGCTAATAGTCAGAGGATGAATAGCCTCCTGTGGTTAAAACCATCCTGATGCAGACTGTCTGTCCTTGCATGCACATCTCTCTGCAGGCAGCTTTCAGTCTCCCTGAGTCCTTTGCATCACAGCCCGCTACAAACTGTAGATATGTGAGCAAGTTCTCAGTTATGATAATCATATGCAGCCCTGTACAAATCATTCATCATAAGTAATCAACGTTGTATGCATTATTCAATAAAACAAAATCTTTGAAAATTCCCAGGAAAAAAACCCCAACAAACAAGCAGAAATTGGGATGCCCAGGGACTAGATTAAGAACTTAAACCTCTAAATCACCAACCCAGACAGATAAATAGAGGGTAACAATTAATTGATCATCTTGCTTTTTATCCATGGTTTCTTCCTGCAGTGGAACTCAAGTATATACAAAGAACGCAAACCTCCCTCAAACACGCGATAATGTTCCCATTGTCTTTACAGACAACAGCTCTGACTTAAATCTATCTTTACACATGCCAAATCACTTAAAATTATGGAGG